TGGACTGCAGATAACAGGCTCTTTGGGGAAATTTGGGATTGGGACAGACCACTCAAAATCTATGCAACCTTCTAACTATAGCAGGAACAACATAATCAAGAGGGAAACTGGGCAGCCAGTTCTATGCAGCTAGAGGCTCCTTGTGGTTCAGAAACGCTCAAAAGTATTGACTGGAAATGCTGGCTTGCAGGAATGAGACAACAGGTGCTAGAACCAGCGTATGGGAAAGACTGATCTGCTAGCAGCCTAGGGCCATGCGAGGCCAGGTGCTTGCCTTTCTGGGGAAGGCGACCTTAGGGGCTGGCTCATTTCCGACTGTCTTATAGGGGCTAGAGGAGCTCCTGCCTGTGCAGCAGCAGGTCTGAAAGCTTGTTTTATTTCCTTCTTTTGCTATTCCAGCTCCCCTTGCCTAGAAAAGACTGCCGGTGAATGCACACAATTCTGCATTCTTCTGACACTATTCCTCTAACTTACCAGTGGCACCTGAGTGAACTATTCAGTCATGTTGTTTGGGTGCTGTACTGGTGCGGTGCAATATAATCCCAGCAGTTAGGGTGCTACATTCCCACTTCTCCAATTCTGTTCCCTACACATGCCGTGGCTTACTTTCCTAAAATATCAGGCTGCCTTCTCCACTCAGTGGCATTATACTCATAATAGCCCCAAATCCTTCTATGAGCTGGGCTTGCTGGTTCCCAGCCTCCTCTATTTATCTTCAAAATCCGATTCAAGAGTCATCTCTAGAAACACTTCTACGACACCTTCTTCTGAATAAATCAGGTGCCTTAATATTATTATTATTATTATTATTACTGCATGTGTCACCCCATTGATTAAATGGCATTCATGTTTGCCTGGCACAGGGACCAACAAACACTTGCTGAATTGAACTTGGCCTCTCCTTGATGGGTCCAGAAGCAGGAAGGTTGTGAAAATGCTGTTTTAGGAATTCCCATGGCATTCTAAGAGCCCAGAATGAATAGGGCATTTAAAAAGAAATTATCCATTAGTACCATAACAAAATGTACAAATATCAACTCTCAGGCAACTAATCCAGGCAAGATTCTGAAGCTTGCCCGGGCAAGAGAATAGTCCTAAAGAGAAAGAAAAGACTGCAGAACAAGCTTACATGATTGGAAAGAGTTGTTCCTATGTTTACATCTAAAATAAAAGACTAAAATGTACTTAAAAGTTGCCTTGGAGATGCCACCCAAACAGAGACCTGTAAATGCTATCAACATTCAAACGTTAAAAGGAATGACACCTCATCTACCTTACTAATGAAGGTGACATAAATGGATGAAGTCGATGCAGAATCAACAAAGCTGAGCTCTAGTCCTGGGTCATTTGCTGGGTGAGGGAATCGAACAAGCAGTACTATTAATCTTTTCAAAGTGTGCCTTTTATGAAACACTCATTAATACTGCAATAATATATGGCGACAGATGGTGACTATACTGATCGTGGGGAAGTGCAGACTTGTCAAACCACTATGTTGCACACCTGAAACATAACATTGTCTGTCAAGCATAGTTTGATAGCAAATAAATACACACACACACACACACACACACACACACACGTACACACACAGCCCACAAAGTCTAAGCTCTGTATCAGTTAACATGGCATGAGCAAAGCCCAATGGGACATCATTTTCTTCCTCATCTGTAAGACCAAAACCCTTTGAATTCTAACTTGCATGGCTCTGTGTAAGGCAACAGCATCTACATACAAGTATATTTCCCCATGGAAAGATGTAAATACATATTTATTTTGGTGGGCCTTTGATTCAGAAACACACAGATGGAGAACGTGGCTTGGAAATGTGGACCTCTTGTTAAAGATGCCTGTGTGCTTGGCCAGGAAGGCAGAGATGCCTAGACATTTTGTTTTCTTCTGTGTTCTAGTTCTTATCTCTAAAAATACACTGATGACATTTTTCTCTGACCTCTACGTACCGCAGGGAATACAGAGGATGGGGGTGACGGCACTTATGAAAGCCATGAACTTCTTGAAAAACAGAACACTCATTCATTTTGGCTCTCATATCTGCACGCTGACACTGTGCTTGGGGTTTTAAAAATCTAGTTTTATGAGGGGATGAAGTTCCCTGGTACCAAGATGCTGTATGACACCACCCCGCAAACTAGTCCAACCAAAGCTGTCAATAATTGCAACTCATTTAGAAGATCTCCCTGTGCCTCCTTTTGCGCTCCCAGCACTGTATCACCTATTTGAAAAATATTAGATCAATTTGCTCCTTATCCTAAGGAGCCATTAATGAGCAATCCTCGTGCCTAGCAAGTTCCAGGAAAACATTTGCAGACAAAATGCTTGGAGGATGAAGTAAGGCTGCAACTGGATGCCCACTCCTTCATTCTTAGCAGTGGCCCAGTGGCTAAAGCCTGGACATTCCCTCTGTGAGCCCATCACAGCAGCTCCTTGCCCATCTTCTAAAAGAAAGTTATGTTTCCCAATTTGCATAACTCTATCCTGATATCCTGATCTCTTCCAGAAAGCCTTGTCATATGTATTTATTTTTAGGTTGCTGTTGGCAGTTTCTCATTGGCCAGGGGAATTTTTAACAATTGAAGTAAAAGTTAAAATAAAAAAGCAACTCAATGGTTTCAAGTTGACAATGTACTCATTATTCAACTAAAAAAGAGAAATATGGGAGAAGAGTCTTTTGCCAGGATGTGGTACAAAATGATAAGGTGGATCTCATTTTCTGTTTTGTCTTGTTTCATTTTGCATTTGTTAAATAAGAGAGTGTCAATCGTTTATTCAGTAAATATTTATTAAATGCCTACTTTGCACCAAGAATTATATGTGCCCTAAGGCTAGAGACATTATTCCTATTCTCAAAGAGTCCAATAAAGAAAAGGGAGGGGGGAGAAGAAATAAAAGCATTAAATTAATTAAGCTCCTACTCTGCGTCAGGTGCTTTTCTTGTGGCCTCTTTGTAACCACTGATGAGAGAAGGTGGGTGAGACCCCTCAGAAGTTGTTCAGAGTCACACTTCTGAGTTGAGTGGATTGGCATTTGTAATCGAATTGGTCTAATTCCAAAATCTCTTGAAAAATTTCTTCAGAAAGCAGAAAAAGAAGAAAACAAATTATCCATTATCCTTCCCATTATGATTAAAAACAAAACAAAATTGTTAATGTTTTGGAATATTTCCTTCCATTTTTTTTGGCTACATGTAGATTAATTTTTGAATTTTTAAAATGTTTCACGTTGTAATCTAAGTGTGTTATATGGCCTTTCTTTGGACCTATGACACCATTGCCTGAAATGCTCCATTATTTTTTATAGCATTAGAGAGAAAAATCATTGCCAATCATATGATGCCACTGACTGATGCATGTTCAGACCTCCACCATGTTAAAATGTGAAGGGTTAAAGTCATGTGTGGTAGGATCAGTGCCCTACTCTGTATCCCCAAAAGCCCACATTGTCTACCTCCTGCCTGCAGTAAAGGTGGCTTCCCAACACTGGGGACCTGGATCTCCCCTATATTAGACAAGCTTTTTGTCTGGGTGAGGAGATCTCCCTCAGAGATCTCCTTTCTCACACATGCATTGCTTTGTACACAGTTGATACTCAAGAAATATTTCTTGGTTGAATAAATACACAACTAAAACTTAAGAAAAAGGTTACCCGATGGAAAAGGATAAAAATTACCATAGGCCCAAACAATGGTAAAAGCCCAGGTTCTGTCAGGGGATGAGGGTTTGTGTGATGGCTCTCAGCAAGAGAGGAGATGGATGGAGCCAGTGGCCTGGGCTTCTTAAGGTCTTTCCCTCCCCATAGCTCACTACTCTGTCCTCCTCTCTGGCTGTCCAGACCCCTACCGGGATGTCCTCACATACACCTCACTCCACAGCACTCCTTGATTCTGCCATCTTGGGAAGTCAGTCATGCTTATTCACACTCAGCTGAAATCCTGATTAAGATTTGGGGACACCGCTCAGTAACATCAAATAACAACTCACGTGGAACAAACTCAGGTATTAGCAAGAGGCAGATGGAGGAGAGTCCTATTTTTCAGGAGCTGAAACTCTCGTTTAAATGGACAGTATCCCCTTCACCCCCAGCAAGTAAAAGACTACATATAGTCTGAGTCTATGTGATTTGACAACTCAATTTAACTTTCTATGAACGTTCACAAAGATATCTGCCTGAGTCAGCAAAATTGGTATAAATAAAAAAAAGAAATTCAGCCAAACTTGGTTCTCCATGTATGTTCTAAGTTCAACCCCAAATCTTCACATTTTGAATACCATCATGATTTCTCTTGCTTTTCCTTTCCTCCTGTTCTTTCTCTCTGCATTTGCCAAGCATCTGTGTGTCTTCACAGCATGTAGAGAACTGTGCTAAGTTCTCCAAGAAAAAGAACAATGGGTCAGAAAATTCTGACCTCAGAAAGAAGCTTATACATTAATAGAAAGGCAAATGTTCCTCACTAAGAAGTAACTTAACAAGGTAGAGAGAGAAGAGTGCTATCTGAGCGATGCAGGTGATATGCACCTGGAGCCAGGAGAGATGCAATCCAGCTAGAACACGAAGGGAGACTTCAGCAAGGAGGTGTCATATCACCTGGGCCTTGAAAGACAGAGAGCTTCTGGGGATATGGGATCTGTGGAAGAAGGGGTATGCCTGGGCAAAAGCACTCCTGTAGTTCTGCTTTAAATGACTAGTTATTGTTTAGGAAACAAGATGCTGTTGTTAGGGCCTATCTGTGAGGTGTTAAATCACTGGCCCGTAAACAGATCATCATCTTGGGCTGACTGCTCTGGGGTGTCATAAGTTATACCAGCTTAGGGCCAACACCAGGAAAATGCTATGAGATTTCACGCTGATGAAGTGTGACATTTTAGAGGAAAGTCATAAAAGCCAAAGCTTGGTGTGTGCCCGAATCAGAGGAACCCACCACTGGTAACGACGGCACAGTATCACTTGTTGAGACTCAAGGGGGCTGTTGGCTCCCCACTTACCATGGACATGGATTCCGTTTGGTTGAAAGGAAGAGTTTGTTTCCGGCTGGTAAGACTTCAGGTGTGGCCCGCCCGCAGGCTGCTGGGTGTGGGGAGGCTGTGTTCTCTGCATTACTGAAGAAGGAGCTGGAACCCTCCGGGGGCTGATGTGGTGAGGAGATGGGACAGAAGGTGCAAACCTAGGAAAATGATCACAAAAGGAAGTGTGAGGGGCACGAAGAAGCAGGAGCAGAGACACACTCAAATTGCCAAATTCTGATTTGCACCCTGGCTGGATAAGAGCATGACAAGAAGCTCTCAAAGGGAAGTGCTGAAGACTTTCTCCCACTTTTAACCACTGGCTTCTCAAGTGAGAAACTGAGGGGATGAGGCGAGGTCAAGGAAGGGAAAATATAGTCACAGTTTGGGTTTGTCAAGCCTCTTAAAATGCATTTCAAATACTCTGGGTTTGGTGAAATGCAAAGCACATCTTTTGCCAGGCCCCCTTTTCTGCTAATTTTTAAATTCGTTTGCATTTTAGGGGAAATGTGATCCTTATGTTTCTGATTCATTTACACTTAGCTCATAAACATTTTGTTCTGTGAGACATATCTGAGGTCCAAGAAGTGTTACAAGTCTTTATCATAAGCCTCTCTCATCCTGTTCCCTTTAAACAATACAGTTTCTTTTGCCAAGAATGAGTGAAGCTAAACCTCAAAGGTCAACTGTGGTTTGAGATCCAGAACCTATCTGCATGGGCTCTGTGCTTGGCAAAGAACACTGCCCAGAGCCCAAGAACAGCGCAATGTGGGATATCTTTTGCAGCCACGTGTGCTAATCACAGTAAAGCTACCGGCAGTTTTAGAGGAGGGACATGCAGATAGAAGGTGACTTAACCAACTAACCTGAGACACCAAATTGATAACTGTCCACCAGTCTTCTGATTGTGAAGGGCAATTAGCAGGGTCTGACTCCCTGGGTCTAAAATGACTTTCTAGCACTTTCTAGGGTGTTGTTATGAGAATGGTGTTCAAGTTTACCAGTGTCCATATGATGGCCAGGTCAGTAGGGTGCTGGCACAGGGAACCTGTCAGAGCTGTGAAATGAAGTTGACAAAATAATTGGGGAGCAAACTGTATCAGCAATGAATTGTTTGGTCTCCACAAAAAGGCCCAGGAAGTTGAGAAAAGAGGTATCCAGAGGAGGCCGAAACAAACTGGCTGCATTAGGATGTATCTTTTCACTTTGCTGCGAGAGAACAGTAACTGAGTACCCTGGGCCGGGCAAATATATATTTTCCAAGTGTATCATCTTAATTGGAATTAGCCTGGAAGATGTGCTCAATGGCCTGAGAGAACACATCGCAAATGAACCCTGGCACTACCCTGAGAACATCTAGTAAAAACTCAAGTGCCAGGATTCCTCATATGGAGGCTATTTTCTTGGGGAACATGTCCCTAATGTGGCTGGCAATTCTCTCTGAGGTCATGGGAGGGAGCTGAAGAATTGTGGGATTGCAGGCTTTTGGGCTCTGAGTCCACACAACCACCCCATCCCAGAGCCCTGTGGGTAGGAGACCCCCAGGGAAAATGGGGAGGACTTGAATTGGAAACAATCTATGTCATGGCATCTCAATTCTGGGTTTGGGCAAAACAGCAAGAGCCTTTGACTTGCTTCCTGATTATATTTCTTCATCTGGGAATAAAAGACGCCAGCACACTCTTGATGGTTTTCTGGTCTTTTCTCTGGTACTTTTGCCACTTTTCCTGGCTATTGAGGACTGACAGGGCGGAGATGTGAAGTTGGGGCCAGTCACAGTATGTACAAGCCTGATCCTGATGTGGTCACCTTGATGGAGGAGATGGATTCTATTTTTACAATCCCTCACCCCCAGGCAAGTGAGTCTGACTCATAAAAGAGGGTTTGATTAACAAAGATAGAAAAGGTAGATGGGGAGGGGAAGGAGGCAAATATAAAATCAGCAATATAAAATCTTATCTCTTTGTAATTTGGGGTGATCTGGTTATAGAATGAACCATGATTACTAGCTATAAAGGGGAGATTTCTCAACTAACTTAAAGGACAGACTTCATTTAGGAGTCATCTAAAATGTAAATTCCATACAAGAGACTCTCCATCTAGATACAGATTATATAGCTACATATAAATTGTATATCTATGTATCTATCTAAAGAGCATATAATTACATGGTAATTATAAATCATTGTTATCTATTCATTCACACAAGTTCCAATTGTTGGCTGTGCCCTCTTGGCTATTACATATTATGTAATGTAGTAATGGTGAGCAAAGGAAAAAATAGGTTGGTGGTATCACACCAAGGGATTAGTAATGCTTATCTCAGAGATCTGGAGAGGAGTAAACTATACCTACTGACCATTCAACTGACTCCACATTTTGCTTTTTGCTAATTCAGACTGGATTTTTCTCCCTGTTACTCAAATAAGTAAGATTATATGGTATAAAGTTAATGTAATTTTAAAATACAGTGTGTCACTTCATATAAAGTACTAATAAAAACTTAAACATACATATTCTAGATGAGATAAATGTACACTTAAAAAAGGCCTTGATTTGGAAAGGAAAGCACTGATACAAAAATTTTAACTTTTACACATATAGAGAAAAGATGAAAAGTGACAAGATGTGATTACAATTATCTAACAATTGCCAGAAATAAGGAAATAAGTAAGAACTCAGTGCTAAAAAGCCCACCACAAGAAATGAATGTAGAAATGTGACTGATTTTCAAGTACAGCACTTAGATTTAATTTTGTTATTGCTGACAAATGGTACATAGTATTTTATTGAAAAATCTCTCACAATCTAATTTAAATTTATCTTCTATAAACCTGGTTACATGTTAACCAGGTCATAGTAGAATAGAATTAGCAAATTAAAATCAGAGGTGAGGGGGTAGGAGAGGAGTGCAGAAGCGAGGGAGGCTCCGTTAGAGGAAAGGCCCTGCCAGCATCCAAAACAGTCACTGACAACTCATAACAAGGCAGATGCCAGAAACATTTTATAAAAAAGCCAAAAGGACTCAAGAAACTTGAGTGGTTTGAAGCCATGTACTCCAGAAGCAAGCAAAGAACCAGGAACATACACACTTAAACAGAAGCTCATTAAGCCAAACGATGTTCTTACTGTTACTGAATCCTATTTTCTTAGTATCCTCACTGATTTTCCAACCTTGTTTTTAACAGGCATACACATATACATACCAAAATGAATAGAGTCTGAATATTCTGCCTAAAACAGAGAGGTTTTTTTTTTTTTAATCCAAAGAGGGTGAATTAAAAACATTTGATGCTAAAATAAACAATTGTGATGTGGAGTCTAAGTTGCAGTGATTTACAATTTTTCTCCCACGGAAGAGCTCATCACCCAAGACATCAAGGCAAGGTGACGTCACTCTAATTCATTCTGAGTTACGGCAGTGTCCAGGAGCCAGAAGACAGAATGTCTGAAGTCTTCCTAGGTCCAACTCTGTCCCCCAGCTGCTGATCTGCAGTTGACATTTCACAGATTTCATTCAATGTAGTTTAACAGTCTCTTCTTTGAAACAATAGAAGGTTGTTAATATAAATATGCACACAATGGGCTAGAAATTAAGAAAGAAAGAAAGAAGAAAGAAAGAAAGAAAGAAAGAAAGAAAGAAAGAAAGAAAGAAAATCACTGCTTACCAGAAACACTTCACACAAAAGCTAACCAGAGAACTGAGTCAGTCAACCATTTGTACTCCTTTAGTGGAGGAGTTTATAACCTCAGCATGAGCCACGGTTGAATGGTTTGTACCTCTCCTCCAACCTCCTGCCAAAAAACCCAAAAAACAGAACAAAAAAACAAAATAAAGACAAAACAGGGAGGAAACAGGTTTTAAAGGACTCATAAAAAAAAATATCTTCTGAAAAAAACCCACACAACTTAAAAAGGCTTCTGTAAATATATATCTATATATATCGACCTTAGAAAATGTCTGATTATTTTCAGTTTCACTCCTCTTCTGTGGCCCCACTTCCACCTTCAGCTCACACTGAGCTTTCCAACCTTGCAGTGAGGTAGGCCAGAAGCAAGGAGGTCATATTCCCTGTAAATGTAGTACTCAGAAACAGTCTTAGATTATTTCACAGGACAGTAGATCCCGATTGAGACATACAGAACTGGTGAGGTTCATAATGCAGTAAAATTACAAATGGCAAGAGGAGATGGATATCACTGAACACCCACTGGGCTTGGATTCTGGCTCTGTCCCTACTAGCTAGATAATCCCGAATAAATTTCCTGACATTTCCCAGCCTCAATTTCAAGTATAAAATAAATATAATCTCAATGCCTACTGGGGATCATAAAATCTGAGATAACATATTCATTTATTCATTCAAGAGATATTTATTGAGCACTGACCCAGTGTGTGGCCCTGTCCCCATCACTAGGGACAGAGCAACACATGACATACATCCCTGCTTCTGTGGAACTTACATTCAGGGGAGGAGAGGCAGGCAATGAACAAAGTGAAATAAGCAAACTATATGTTGTACTGAGGAAATGAGTACTATGGAGAAAAATCAATAATGGGAGGTAAGGGGTGGGGGTGGATTATGAACAATTTTAAATTGGGAAGTCAGAGATTTCCAAGTACTTTAGACAATGTCTGACATCTTCCAGATGATCAGCACATGTCTATGGAGTGATCGCCCTGAATGGAACATATAACTAAGGTATCCCTGACATTAACATGTATACAGTGCTTGAGAGCTCTGTAAGATTGTAACTCCAGCACTGCATTTGAATTTCTATAGAGTTCTTAAAATAAAACATCTTAGGACTCTTTTCTCTCTTGGCCATTCAGATATGGAAACTAAGGCTCAGAGAAAGCAAGGTATTTACTCCTCTGGCTAATTTTCCAATTCTAAGAGCACATAGTCATGGCCTTGTGTAAGAATCCCATTTCTCGGCACTGGTCTTCCCCCCAGAGTATCCTGAGTTCACAAATTCATACAATCATTATTATGTTCTAGCTGAAAGGTAATGGGTTACCCTTATTTGGATGAGATGAGGCAGGCTCAGAGGCATGAAATGATGTGCCCAGTCACACAGCTAGTTCTCCAATGCCACTTTATCCCAGGAAGGTAAGATGCTCTCTAGTGGAGGCTCCAGGCAAGGTGAGGGAGGGTGG